GATGATGGTTGGATGGATGATGGTTGGATGGATGGATGATGATGGATGGATGATGATGGATGGATGATGATGGTTGGATGGATGATGGTTGGATGAAGGAATAAAGAAATAAATCAGATGCTTTTATTAATATTATTTATTGTTTCTCATCCGTCACTGAAGGCCTTTAAACACATTAATATGAAATATTTCATGTTTAATGTTTGTTATCAGTTTTCATCAGATCCAGTCAAAGACAGAAAYGTGTCGATCAGGTACCTGCTCTGTCTCGTCCTTCTTATCCTGCGAACACTGGAGGACAGAGGCTGTTAGCTTCAGCTGACCTTCAGCTGCTAATCGGATCAGCTGAAACAGGCAGCTTGTTAACACGAGCCTAAAGCCCTGATAAGCTGCTCCTCACTTCTTCTGCATTAACTTCMTGAATGAAAACAAGCGTGAAAAAACAGCTGCTGCCAAACTGGACAGAGTGACGGGACTGCAGGCTGTGGGCCAGAGCAGGTCAGGAGACACGTCTCCTGGACCATGGGCCAGAGCAGACCATGGGCCAGAGCAGACCATGGGCCAGAGCAGACCATGGACCAGAGCAGACCATGGGCCAGAGCAGACCATGGGTCAGAGCAGACCATGGGCCAGAGCAGACNCAGAGCAGACCATGGGCCAGAGCAGACCATGGACCAGAGCAGACCATGGGCCAGAGCAGACCATGGGTCAGAGCAGACCATGGGCCAGAGCAGACCATGGGCCAGAGCAGGCCATGGACCTGAGCAGACCATGGACCAGAGCAGGTCAGGAGACACGTCTCCTGGACCATGGGCCAGAGCAGACAGTGGACCAGAGCAGGTCAGGATACTGTCTCTGTCACAAAGCTGCAGAGAGTTTCAGGGTTTTTCTCACAGATGTTTTGCTTTTTTTTTTTATCAGACTTGAAAACATTAAACTGAGCTCAGCTGGAGTCCAAACGAGCGTCAGGACAAAACTCAGACAAACGTTCACATCAAGTTAAAACACAAACAAACAAACAAACAACAAACAAACAACCATTTTAAAATGACAGAAAATAAAAAGCTGGATTATTGCTTCTTCTCTTTCAGCTTGTCTTTGATCTTCTGAGGCTCGTCGTATTGTATCAACCGCAGGATGTCCTTGTTGTCCATCACGCCCTGAATGAACTCTCCTTCTGTGATTTTATCTGCAACAAACACAGAAAGATGTTTTTGTTTTTTATTTTTCTTTAAATAAAAACTGGGAGACTGGATTAATTAAAACTCTGGGTACCGTTYTCCTTCTTCCTGAAAAACGTCCAGATCTTTTCAGCCCTCTTCTCTGGTGTGTTTTCATCTTCAGGGAGTTTCTTCTGGTCTTCGACAGGGATCATGTTAAATATCGACTGAAAGAACAAAAATACACTTTTTTAGTTTGAATGTTACGTTAAATATTGTTTTTATCCAGAACCAAAGGCAATGTTAGACATGTGAGGTACCTTGACGATCTCCTGGATTTCGTTTTTGCTGATGGTTCCGTTGCCGTCCACGTCGTACAAGGCGAAGGCCCACTCCAGCTTCTGCAGGGTCTTTCCTCCGGAGGTGAGGTGCAGGGCCACGATGTACTCCTTGAAGTCCAGAGTGCCGTCGGCGTTGGTGTCGAAGCTCCTGAAGACGTGGCGAGCGTAGGCTGTGGGGTTGGCGCCCGGGAAGAAGCTGGCGTAGATGCCCTCAAACTGCTCCTTGCTGATCTTCCCTCCGGGACACTCCTTCAGGAAGGACTGGTACCACGTGCACAGCTCGGCCTCCGTGTACTTGGTGTTGGATTTCAGGTCCTCCAGGAGCTCCTTGGACAAAGCGCTGCTCTTCGTGTTCCCCATCAGGAACTCGGTTTTCCCCCCTTCGCCGCGGTTTGAGGTTAGACTTGTGYGAAGCCTTCCGAGGAGTTTCTCTGCCTCGCTGCCAAATGAGATTACGGTCATCACTCGCTAAATCCAGACAGCTGCCTTAAAGAGGATCAGCACGTCACAGAGCTGACACCTCTTCTGAACGACACCCACAGTCAGGTTTACATTCATTTTAATGATGCAAACTGAAACTGATTCAGGAAAAAAATAAATCACGTTTTCCACAAAACTGTTAACTTTTACGTTCAGGACATAATCTCTTCTGTTTGATATTTTCTGCCACTTTTTTAAAGATGCAAAACCGCCATCTAAAGAAAAGTTCTTCTTCCTTTTGTGTTAAAAAAAAATTAAATTAAACTAGAATAGTTCCTGGAGAAACTATGAAAGGACAATTTAAATAAAGATTTGATTTGTTTATTTATTGGAGATCATTGTGATCTACTACCATCCCTGATTTGAGCCAAATATGTCTAAAAATGGCTCAGTTGTTACATTTTCATTTTAGCTATGGCGGCCGTCTTGGATTTTTGGTTTGGATTTGGTTTCAGTGTGTGGTCTCAGATTTTTTTAACGTGTTTTRTTCWTTTCTACTTACTTAGTGTTTACTTGGTTTTATCTAATTGTATTTTTATTCTTCTGTGCAGCACTTTGGTTGCCATTGGCTGTAAAAAGTGCTATACAAATAAAGTTTCATTGATTGATTGATTGCGTGTGATGGAGATTTTATTTATAAAGTTTATTAATTTCTTTTAAAAATTAAAACAAATTCCATACACAGTAAGAAATACAATCACAAATAACATGAAACGCAGTAGAAAGAAGAAAAAATCTTATCTGCCCACCCCTTTTTTTCCAAAAATGTATTCAAACAATAATAATAAKAAGAAGAAGAAGAASCACATCATCTGCGTAAAGCAGAAACTAGAATCCCTCCTCTCCATGAACCTATACACCACAGACAGGATCTGAGACCTGGGTCAGACCTGCTGGAGTCCCACCTGCAGAGGCCGTCAGCATCAAGCGGGTCAAACATAAACCATCCATCCATTTTCTGTAAACGCTTCTTCCTTTCAGGGTCGCGTGGGTCACTGGTGCCCATTTCCAGCAGTCACAGTGCGAGGGGCGAGGTATACTCTGGACAGGTCACAAGCATAAACCTCCTGTTCTCAAATCAATTTTTCTCATTCGGAGCTTCAAATCCTGAGCCATTTGTTCAAACCTCCCATCTGTCCGTTCTATCCTCCTGCAGGTGGGATTATATAATATTCCCCAGCTTACAGCCTCATCCTTTGTTTATACCCTTTATTATGCAAAGGTTCTGAATAATCCCTTTATGTTCTGCTGAACTGCTCATGCCACAACCTGTGTGCACGCCAACATTCAGCTGAGTCCGTCCATTTTCTTCCTCTTATCTAGGGTCAGGTCTCGGGGGCAGCAGCCTCAGCAGAGACCCAGACTTCCCTCTCTCCAGCCTCTTGGACCAGCTCCTCTGGGGGAATCCCAAGGTGTTCCCAGACCAGCTGAGAAACATAGTCCCTCCAGCGTGTCCTGGGTCTTCCTCTGGGTCTCCTCCCAGTGGGACGTGTCCAGAACACCTCACCAGGGAGGAGTCCAGGAGGCATCCTAACCAGATGAACCACCTCAACTGGCTCCTGTCGACGTGGAGGAGCAGCGGCTCTACTCTGAGTCCCTCCTGGACGACTGAGCTTCTCAGCCTATCTCTAAGGGAGAGCCCAGACACCCTGCAGAGGAAACTCATTTCAGCTGCTTGTATCTATGATCTCCTTCTTTCAGTCACTACCCAAAGCTCCTGACCATAGATGAGGGTAGGAACGTAGACCGACTGGTAAAATCCACCTGTTGATCTCCCGCTCCATCAGGATCTGATGAAACCAACAGGACCACATCATCCACAAAAAGCAGAGACGTGATCCTAAGGTCACCAAAAAGGATCCCCTCAACACCTCGGCTGCTCCTACAAATTCTGTCCATAAAAGTTATGAACAGAATCGGTGACAAAGGACAACCTTGGTGGAGTCCAACCCTCACTGGAAATGAGTCAGACTTACTACCAGCAATGTGGACCTAATAGCCCGTATCAATGGGCCTGGTGCCCCATACTCCCAGAGTATCCCCCACAGGAGTCCCAAAGGGACACGGTCGAACGCCTTCTCCAAGTCCACAAAATACATGTAGACATGTTGAACTCCCATGCACCCTCCAGGACCCTGCTGAGGGTGTAGAGCTGGTCCGCTGTTCCACAACCAGGACCAAAACCACACACTGCTCTTCCTGAATCTGAGATTCGGCTATCCAATGGACCCTCCTCTCCAGGACCCCTAAATAGTCCTTACCAGGGAGGCTCAGAAGCGTGATCCCCTATAGTTGGAACACACTTTGTTCTGCCAATCCAGGTGAACTGCCCCAGATGTCAATGCAAAATTGCAGAGTCGTGTCAACCAACAAAACCCCACAACATCCAGAGCCTTAAGGAACTCCGGGTGAAGGTCATCCACCCCTGGCGCCCTGCCACTGAGGAGCGTTTTAACCACCTCAGTGACCTCGGCACCAGAGATTGGAGAGTCTGACCCAGGATCCTCAGGCTCTGCTTCCTCATGGGAAGACGTGTTGGTGGGTTAGGACCTGTCCCCACACATAGATGGAGGGAGGCTATACTCTGTCGTTCCCCAACTATACTCTGTCGTGCCTGTACGTTGAACCCCAGCGTACCCCAACATACAGGCACCGAGATGGGGGGCAATAAGTATGCCCACTCCTGCTCGGCGCCTCTCAGCATGGGCATCTCCAGAATGGAAGTGTCCAACCCCTCTGGAGACTGGTTCCAGAGCCAGAGCGGTGTGTTGATGTGAGTCCAGCTATATCTAGTCTGAACCTGTCAGCCTCTCACACCAGCTCAGGCTCCTTCCCCACCAGAGAGGTGATATTCCACGTCCCTAGAGCCAGCTTCTGTAGACGAGGATCGGACCGCCAAAAACCTAGTTTTATAAATTCAATTTCTAAAAAAAAGTCTGTTTCTAATGAGACTATATTTCTTTATGATCTAACCACAGAATAAAATGGTGGGCCCTCAATCACTGTTAGCAACAAAACCAAACTCCAAACTCTTTAAATACTACTGATGTTTTGACTTGTCTGAAATATCAGCAGATTTACCACAAACTGTACTGTACACAAACACGTCATGTTTCTCAATCCTTGTGGGGACTTTCCATTGACTTCCATTCATTTAYTGGTCATTTCTATAGCTTAACCCTGACCCCTTACTCTAACGTTAACCACTCCAGTGACCTGACACCTGAACCTAAATCTAGCATAAAATTCCTTGGTCTTAACTCCTTGGTCTTAACT